GGAAGACACCGACAACGGACAGCGATGTCCCACCAAATGGGACGGTTGGATGTGCTGGGACTCTGCCAAAAGCGGAACCACGAGTTGGAGGACGTGTCCGGATATGTCTCACTCGGTGTTGGGATATATGCCGACGGAATGCAGCAAAGAGTTGTCGAGCAAATCGTGTCGCGGGAACGGCTCGTGGGCTACCATTTGGAACCCAATCGACGAAAACCATCGGAACCGCGGTTTCTATGAACAGGAGTTCACGGATTACATCACGTGCTCCACTCCGGGAGCGACGGAGCGGCTGCGGGAGACCCACACCGCGATCGCCATCTTTTTCATTTCGCTCGTATTCTCCATCATCGGGGCCTCGGTTTTCATATTTTACAAGCTATACACCAAACTTCGTGTCCAAATTCATCTCAATTTCCTGTTGTCACTGATCCTGACCTGTCTTTTCTCTATTCTCTTCTATTTTCTCGTTCGAGAAAAACATTATAAACTCCAGTCAATGATTGATGAGAAGTATGTCATTGAGTGCTAAGACAATGGCTTTCATTCAACAAATTGAATAATCATATAAAATGTCTCTCCCATATATGCATACAGTCCTCACTGGTGCAAAGCACTGGTAGTTCTGCACAAAGGCGCCCGTTTAGCCAACTTTTGTTGGATGTTGAATGAGGGCTATTATTTGCATCGTTTAATTGTGGCCGCATTTCGGGAACAAAGTCGTACTCTTTATTATTATCTCTTCGGATGGGGAACACCCGTCCTTATTATGGTCCCCTATGTCATCGTCCACTCTATGGATGAATATGACAACAGTTGTTGGACTAAGTCTATGCTCTATCCGGAACTCCTGTATAATCTGTTGCCATTGATTTGCATTGTCGTCAGTAGTATTCAATATAATCTTAAGTATTATAAAAACCAATTGATATATTAATAGATATTTTGCATAAATTTCAGTTAAACGCTATTTTGTTGGCAAATGTGGTGCGAGTTTTGATGACTAAATTGAGGGCATCTCCCGACCATTTCAAGGCTGGCCTCAGAGCGTCCATAGTATTACTGCCCATATTTGGCATTCAATACACCTTTTATGTGGTGCCCATCGACCCATTCGAGTCCTGTGGCACCGGTATATTTGTGGCCCGATATGTGCAGATAGTCATAGAAGCACTTCAGGGCGCTATCGTTAGCACTATATTCTGTTTCCTTAATGGAGAGGTTAGGCCTACCAAATATTTTCATTTCTAGACAATTAATCACAAAATACACCATTAAATCGATTTCAAAGTTTTAGACACAAAATAATTTTTATAATTTTGTTTATATTTTCAAAATTGTTTAAAATACTCGAATTCATTAATATTGTATTGCATTAAAATGCATACAATTTAGTGTCAGGGGTCAAGGAATATAATATAAACTCCTTTTTCAAATTTAGTGAATAAATCTAAGGGGATCTGCATTGAGAAGTGGGCCTCAAGTCTGGCTTAAGTCATATTTAAAAGGTTTTCGAAAGTCTTTAATTAGATGTTAGAAGTCTGACAGTATTTTATAGCGTTATGATAGCGTTACACATTTTAGGGATTATCTGTTTCTACACTCGAGTCACGATTTATTGAGAGGGAGTTCACTGAATATAAAATTACAAACATTTTTATGAAATAATTTTAATTAATTAAAACTCAATTAAAAATTCTTTGCAAACTATTTTGCGAAATATAAGTTATAAGTTATAAAAAGTATGTTTTCGCAGTATAAACCTTTGAATTAGATGTCAATTACAATATAACCGGCATTTTTGAATGTTTTTTATTGAAACCTTGTTATGAGACAGAAAATCAAATTTATACCTTTCGTTTGAAAATGAAATAAATTTAAAATTTTAATTGATTTCAGGTTCACTCACATATCAGGAGAAGCTTTCGGAAAACCTTTCGGAGAAAATTTCCTAAATCTATTGAAATGCATACCGAAGCACAAGAATTGGAGAAAACGACATTAAAATGAAATGAATTTATAATTTCATATTTAATTCATAATATTTTTGTGAACATAACAGTAGAGTACAACTTTACTTAAAAACACAAACTCATTATTCAATAGCTATTAACTTACCATATTTTAAGTTATAAAATCACTACTTTATTTATATTTCAATATTTATTTTTCAAAATAAATAACAATTGATATCAAAGTTTTCGCAATTATTTCTATTTATTATAGCATTTGTTAAGTTTGCTTTAAAAATGATTTATGACTTCCTTTGGTTTTAAGAGCTTATAGTTTTTGTAGTTTTTTTTGATTAAACATAAGCTCATAAAATGTTTTATTTAACTGTTATTTATGTAATGAAAATTCATTGAAAATCTTGTGTCAAATCATTAAAATTTTTCCATTCAATTATTTTTTCTTTCTTAGAAAAAAAGTTCAGTTGTTTTACTCTTTAGCCTAAAATGAGTTCATTTAAAATTCATTTAATTTTTCTTATTATTGTTAATACAATATTACACTTAAAACACAGAATTTATTCATAAATTCTAACGAATTATTTTCGGAAACCTTTTTTATAAAAGAAAATATGAATTATGCTATAAATAAAAACACGGAAAACAATTTTTGCTGTAAATGTTTATTAGTTTTTTCAAATATAATTTTCGTTCATATTTATGTTGGCTTTATTCTATTAGTAATACTTGTCATTAATATAGTTAAAACTGTAAAGTTTTGACAGTCTTTTCAAACATTTAATTCATTGATGAGGTTTATAATCGCATTATGGGTATTATTAACTCATGTTGTGTTACATTTTGACAAAGAGTTTACATTTCATTTACTTGTATTTAAACTTTGTTTTGAATTTAACAAACTTTTTGTGAACACATATTTGATTGATTAAGACATTGTTTGGTTATTATCTCATTTTTACTCTTTGAATTCTTAAAATAATTTTTCATTTAATTGTTTTCATACCGAGTAGTATAGTTTTCTAAAAAAATCAACTTAATTATTATGAAAAACATAACTTAATTTTTTATTAAATTGATGTCAAGGTTAAAATATTAGATATTATTCCACTAAACCTTTAATTATATTTAAAAGGGCCGTTTTATTTTCTAATAGATGGTTATCCATTGTATGCAATAAATAATATTTCATATGTGAAGTCGAGGTCTTTCTTATTATAACTCTTATTTAATTAATAATTTTGAAAAATGAAAATTTCCAAATTGCATATTAATACACAGAGTATATAATAAAATACTTTTCACTTACAAGTTAAACGCAAAGAATATAATTGTTTTGAATATAAATGTCATAAATTGCTTTTCAATTAACGTAAATGACTAATAAATTAAAGTAATAAATTTTACAGATATTTTATGCGAGTTTAAGTCAAATAAAGCAAACTATCATTTATTCTCATATAATATCTCACTTTCATTTAATAAACTTTTTGTTTAATTCCCAGAATTTATGATTCTTTTCATCGCCTCCTTTGAGACATTCTTTAGTTTAAAATACACTAAAAATAGTTGTTTTTGAAACTTAATTCGGACGCAAACTTTCAATAACTTAGTTCACTTGTAATTAAATATTTTAGTCTTTCAAGAATTGCCTCAAATTAACTTTTATTGAATTTCAAGTGCACTGAACTCCAACTTATTATCATTTGGGATACTCTCTAGTTATCAATCAAACGAATCCTATTTTAGAATAACAAAAACACTGAAGCCTTGGATTTCATTTTACTTTTGTTTTTTCTCGACATTAGTTTTTCCGCTCTTTTGCTCTATTTTTCTCCAATCACTACATTATCTCATCATTTAATAAATTTTAACCAAAAAAGAGGTTATAATGCAATGAATGTCATGATTTATACTTATATTTCGAAAT